TATAAAGAGTGTATTTGGATCTTGATTAAAGGTACAATTTTGTCCTAATTTTGATGGTTAAGATTTAAGAAAGTTGTGTTTTTTATCCTATTTTACATCATGGTAGGTATTTGAAGAGGTGTAGATTAGAGATAATGATTTAATTTATTATTACTACTTATAATGAAAATTATTATTGCAATATTAGTTTGATGGTGATGAAAGTTTTTTTTTGAAAATCAATAAACTTAAATTCTTGATAGGCGTAGACAATTAAGTTGTGCGAAATTTTCACTTTTTCGTATTTATATTTATCTAAAAGTGAATTTATGATATTATTTTTCGCATAGAAATTTTTGTGACTTTAAATTATTTTATTAAAGAATAAAATGAATATTTGAAAATAGAAGTGTGATTATATATATAAAAATATATCATATAAAATAAAATTGATAAAATATTATATTTAAAAAATCTAACATATATGCTTTAATATTTTTAAAAAGTTCGGACAACATCAATCATCAAAATCGTCTATAATTTATATCTATCATATTTCGTGATCAATATTATTTAGCCACCTATTGTTGGAATGTACTATCGAATTTGTTTCTTGTTATGAAATTAAGACTAGGAGCTATATCGTCTGTTCGATATTATTAATCATATTATGTTTTTTAAAAGTTAATTTGATAAATTTTAAAGTTAAATTTAATTATATTAATTAGATATTTTAAATAAAAAATTCACATATTATTATGATAAAAATATACATTCTTAAAAAATTAATTAAATTTTTTATATTTAATTATAAAATAGAAATCATGACTAATAATCCAGACGAAGGAAGTTATATATAATAATGACAGATTATCAAACGGACAAGTGGACAATATATTCTTAAAAAATTATATACGTGTAGAAATTTGCTTGCACATTGATTGTGCAAAAAAGTGGAAGTATATATCAATCCAATTGTATTATTATCAACTTAGATTTTGTCGAAACAACTTAAGTAACAAGTGGCCCATTATTCGATATTCATTTTGAGATTATGAGTACTTATCTAAAATTTAAATTGTTAAAAAGAATGTATATTTTTATTATCTGATTATATTTTTAATATATTTTTTGTGTGTGAGTCTAATTCTTTTATTTAATTATATTGTCAACATGTCTCTTATACGTGAGTCTGATTTTCTTTCGTGAGTCAAACATGCGAAATTTTTTTTTAGTTTTTGAGTGACGATAAGATTTGATCTCAGGATCTCTGTTTGCTCTAATACCATAATAAAATATATGACTATCTTTATCTAAAAGCTTAAATTACTAAAGAAAATATAATTTTATTATTTGATTATATTCTCAACCAATATATCAAACATAATTTTCCATAGATTCAGCCTAACTTAAGAAAAATGTTTATTATAAAGATATTTTAGAGCTACCATTCAAAATCTATATGATTCAATTTAAAAAATTCTATCCTTCTCTTTTTAATATAATTTCTGACATTTTTAATATTAATCGGTGAAACAGGTAATTGGGAATAGAGACTTAAATTAGTTTTGTCATTTTTCGTTGGTCAAAATGTGAGACTAATTGCTAACCAAGGACTTGACTGACTATCATGGTTACCATGAAATAGTAAGTAATTCTTTCCTTTTTAAATATCTTAAATTTAAATTTTCATTGTATGAAATTATTTTTATTAAAAAGCATTTTTTTTTAATAAGAAAATTTTTAACATGAATCGAAATTTTATGTTGGATTTAATTAGTGCACCGCTTGCATGCATTACGGTTCAACGAACACCAACACATTTTAATGCATTTTTTGTACACGCATCTGAATTTTTTAAATTAAAGTCTTTATAAGCAGGGAGCGTTCTTTCCGAATAAAATTTAATTGTGTAAATTTTAAATTAATCGAATTTTAATATGGATTAATAAGCAAGATCTTCTAAGATGCAAAATTTCATATTTGCAAAGCACCACGCTTACATCTATTCAGATTTAATTTTGTATTATTTATTTGATAGAAAATGTCTATGATCCATCAATAGTAGGGTTGTTCAATTAGGTCTATTTACTTTTGCTTAATATTTTCGAGTTTGAGTTATAAGAAATTTTCAATAGAAAATATGTGTTGTTGAATATATATTAGGGAAGGGCTAAATATGTGACCTCCTAATCATATAACTATTTTTATTATTACCACAAGGCTCCCATTCGTAATTTATACTATATATATATATATCATATCATATATTATTATAAGTGGGAAGAATGTTAGGCAAAAGTTAAATT